AAAGCCCCAGTAGATAGTTGTATGTCATAGCTGCACATCCTTCTAGTTGCTGTATGTGGGACGCGGCCTCAGCATGGCCGGAGAAGCAGTGTGTTGGTGCACGCCCGGGATCCGAACCTGGTCCGCTAGCAGTGGAGCGTGCGCACTTAACCTCTAAGCCACGGGGCCGGCCCTGGACTTGGCATTATTAAACCAAGATTCTTTTAAACTAAATTACGTGCATGAAGAATTGCTTTAGTGTTCTGCTTTTTCATCTTTATGGGTCTCTATGTGGGTTTCTTTTTATTTGGGTTGAGATTAGTTGGTTCTCTGTAGATTCATCATCAACTCTGGAATATTCTCTGCCTTTATTCTTTAACAAAAAATTACAAAACGCTGTTGGGAACAAGGCACCATGAGTTAGTAGAAACAAAAAACAATAGAATTAGCCTCACAAAGACTACAGATTTTGCTGTTATTAGATTCAGAATAAAAAATGAGCATGTTTACTATGTTTAAAAAAATAAAAGAGAACATTTAAAGTATGAACAGGGAAGAAGAGGCTATTTAAAATATTCAGGTAACTATTTAAAAATTACATATATTCTCTTCTAGAACTGCAAAGTATAACAATTAAAAACAGAAACTCTAAAGATGGTTAAAATTGCACATTTGATGTACCTGAAGGGATCAACTACAGGATAGAGTTGAAGTAATTACTCAGAAGTCAAGAAGAAAAGAGATAAAAAATAATATGGAAAAATTAAGGCACTTGGAAAATAGTGTGAGACCGTCTTACATATATTTAAACAGAACAAATGAAAAAGATATGAGAGAATCAGAAAGAAGCCCTATTCAAGTAACTATTGTCTGAGGATTTTCTAAAATTAATGAAATACCCAAATCCTTAGTTTCTGGAAACCCAATGAATCTTAGTCCAAATAAATGAAAAGAAATCCAGTTCAGACATGTAATAAAAGTGCAGAACCACCAAGACAATGAGAAGATCTTAAAAGCAGCCAGAGAGAAAAGACAGACTACCCACAAGGAACACAGATTAGAATGATGGCTGACTTCTCAACAGCAAGGTGGAGCCCAGAAGGCAGTAAATAAATCTTAACACGCTAAAACAAAAAGAAAACTCATAGTCTGGAATTGGACACCCAGAAAAACTACCTTTCAAGAAGAAGGACAAAATAAGGACATTTCTAGGGAAACTGAAATTAAAAGAATTTACCAGTAATAGGATCTCATTAAGAGAATTTTTAAAAGCTGGAAACTAGGAAATAGGAAAATGAATCCAGAAGGAAGGTTTAAGGTATAAGATCGAATGGAGAAAAAGGGAAATGTTGAAGAAGAAGGGCAATAAGTCTTCATTGGAAGTCTGATTGGAAAATTACTAGTATAAGCAGGATCTGAAGCCACATGAGGGAATAAGGTCACTCACAAAGAGGTCATGGGAGAAGAAGAATGACAGGTTGATGTCGAGAACTTCAAGAATCAAGAACTTCAATATTTATGAGATAAGATGAGAAAAAAAAGAACTAATTTAGGATATTTAGAAGTAGCTCAATTAGTAAGGAAAAAAAAAAAACAAGCAGAGAACAAAAAATTTAGTGTTGATAAACTTTGACGAGGAACCAGCCTACTGCTACTGATGCAGAATGGACTGGGCAACATATTCCCAACTCACACACTTCACAGATGCAGTAGGATTGGCCGCATAATCCTGTCCCCTAATGGCAAAGTGGGCACTCGTTTGCATAGCAGATCACCACCTCCAGCCAGCCAATGCTACCTAAATAATGGATGATCCCAGATGTCACCAGCCAGTTAGCAACACTCAGAAACTTTGCCTTCTTAATATGGTCAACAGCCAGTTCACAGTCATCTTTTAAAGCCAAAAGGCTTTAAAAGGCCCTCTGTTCCTCCTCCACTAATCCTGAAATCTTAGCTTTTCAGTTGTATCAGGTTCCCTGCTTGGAGACAAACCATTTCCACTCTTTGGTCTCCCAATATATTTTTTCTCTTTAACTGTATGATAAAGTAAAATGTCACCAGAAGTGAATCCAGGTATTGTGAGCCTAAAGCTTATATTATTTGGGGAATCCTCTTTATGGAAAATAATATAAATATTATAAATAAAAAAATTTGTCACAGTTTCTTGTACGGGGCCGATACGGGTGAAAGACCCTGAAGCTTAAGATTCATTAATGTTGCCAAAAATACACAGCTAGCCAGCACTATCAAATGCTGCAGAACACAAAGTAAAACAACAACTGAAAAAAGCAGTAAAGCATTGAGAGAAGGAACTGTCCATCTTAATGGGCCTAGATGAATATTTGGGAGCAACAGCAAAGATTCATAAAACAACTTCAGGAAGATGAAGGTAGAAATTTCCTAATGTTCTGTTAATTTTCCTCAAAAGTGACTGCAACAGCCAAGATTCATAATGTTTATCATATGAAAAAATAATGGAAGCAAGAATGTTAATAAAACATATTAAGTGCCTACTCATTTATTAAGTACCTGGCAGTGTGTTAAGCTTTTTGCATGCACTAATTTAAATTATCCTCACAAGTGCCCTATGAGGTTCATATTAAAATTACAACTATTTTACAGATGTGGAAACTGAAATTTAATGGTGAAGTTATTTGCCCAAATTGCAAAGCTTATAAGCAGAGAAGTGGCATTTTAACTCCGGCTAACTCCAAAATTTAGAGTAAAAGAAGAAATTCCTGCTCAGAATTAGTGGCATATTTTAATTTCTGGGAGGTAAGGGATTTGAGAATCTTTTTTTATCTGCTTTCTTGTTCATCAGGAGAATAAACTCTTACACAAGTCACGCCCAATGGCCATATTGCGAAAGATAAAAATTCTTGCATTCTTAGAATTCTTCTGTTTTGGATGGATTCTCTAGAACATTCAGGCAGGAACCAAGAACTATAGTAAAATATTTAAGAAAGGAAATATCAAGCAAGACACTGGTATTAGCTTTCAGCCTAGTCAATAATGAATCTTTGTGGTTGATGCACGGACTAGCTACTTTCATCATGTCAAGCAATTCCACATTGAGATTTGACACAAAAACACCTGCTAAAATAAACAGTCCACGTTTGGTCAAAGTCATTTTGGGAGACTGGACGTTGAGAGTTCATAGGTTTGAGATTCTGGCACCTTTGTTTTCCCCTTTGAAAATATGCCTAATTGACTCACTGGGTATTTTAGTGGAGGGGTAAAGCATTTGGGTAATTTTTAATGCAGATAAGAAAGTAAAATTCACCATTTTATGTATTACATTTACATTTGAAAAGATAATACTTTTTAAACACACTTTAGTTGAAAGACTGTACAAAATTATTTAAATATATAAATATTATTAAAATATTTAAAATGCCATCATTTTAGTTTTGGAGAAAATAACAGCAACAAGTACTTACCTTGTCTAGTCTTAAGCAGCAAAATGGCACTTTTTCATGAAGGAGATGACAAAAAGTGGGTGAACTTCCTATATACGGAGAGTAAGGTGGGTAGCCTTTAGCATATCTGTAAAACAATATGAAATACTGAATTACCTTGAATAATGCATGCAAAGTTGGACAATTATGTTATAGCCATGTTCCTTCATTTTGACAAAGTTACATACAGTAACTCTTTATGTTGCAATTACATTTGATAAAGAAATAGTTCAGAACAGGGATAGGCAAAATAAGGCCCATGGACCAAATCTGGCCCATTATCTGGTTTTGTAAATTGAAAGTGGTTCTTATATTTTTAAATGGTTGGGAAAAAATCAAAAGAATAATAATGTTTCATGTCATGAAATTCAAATTTCAGTATCTATAAGGAAAGTTTGTTTAGAACACAGCCATACTCATTCATTTTATGTATTGTCTATGGGTGTTTTCATGGTTCAAAAACAGAGTTGAGTAGTTGCAGTAAAGACCATATGGTCTATAAAGTCTAAAATATTTACTAGCTCTGTCTTTCCAGAAAAAGTTTGCCAATCCTCAGTTTAAAAGTATAAAAGATTTATATAGATTTTTTTTAAATAGTAATGTTAATTTATAAAACATATTTAAAGCAAAATGCATCACTACGATTCACTCTATCAATATTCATTAGTCATGGATGCCGACTTTATAAAAACAGCCACCTGCACACATTTTAAAAATAAAACTTTCAAAAAGTAGCAGCATAAATGAAAATTAAGAAATAAAAGAAAATTTAGCAGAGGCAAAATTCCTTTATCCAACATAAAAGCTCTTTTTTGATAAAAATTTATCCTCTAAATCAAGAAATTTCAAACCTAGTTTGACATCATTAGCTAGAAGGATAAAATGGAGCACATTTCACAAATCTAGAAGTTGATAATCTCCACTATTACTTCAACGTCTGTTTCATTTTTCTAGAAATAAAAAAATTCCACCTCTCAATTTTTTCAGGAGTGCATGTAATGAAAGAATTCACTCCCACCACACAACACCATTTCCAGAAATATACTGGTGGTCTAACCTCCCCTTGTTCCCACCAACTATTTCATAAATGTATTTGAGTACTATTGATTTCTTGGAGAGTGGATTGCATTCTGTGGGCACATCAAAGTTTCTTGTAACAAATTTTTAAAAAGTGTGAAGAGGGGCCAGCCCTGTGGTGTGGTAAAGTTCAATGCACTCTGCTTTGGCAGCCGGGGTTTGTGGATTTGGATCCCAGGCGCAGACCTATACCACTCGTCTATCAGTGGCCATGCTGTGGCGGTGACCCACATACAAAATAGAGGAAGATTGGCACAGATGTTAGCTCAGGGCGAATCTTCCTCAGCCAAAAAAAAAAAAAGTGTGAAGGATTAAAAAAAGGATTTTTCTAAGTTTCAATGATATTTCAGTTCATTTTAGTTTAGTTCAACATTAATTGAACATCTCTTGTATGAAAGGCATTGAGAGAAGTGTTTGAATGGTGTTAACCACTGCCACTACCACTAGGACCACACCTAATAGTAATTAACACTGAATGCTTACTCTGTACAAAGCATTGTCCTAAGCATATTTTCTCCATTATCTCAGTTCATCTTCATATGAACACTATGAGGCAGTAACTAGACTGAGTTTACAGGTAAAGATATTGGGGTCAAATTGTTTAAGCAAAGTCACTTGCACACAACCAGTATGAGGTAGAACTGCCATGGGAAACAAATTCTTTCAAACTCCATAGTCAAGGCTGTTAACCACCATGCTTTCTCAAGAAATGGCAATATGATATGTGAATAAGACAAGACTCTCTACTGAGGCTAAAATGTAATTAACAGCATGTACATTGGTACTATTTATTATGAAGGCTTAGTAAAGAGAATTAGTACTTCATTTATTCATTCCTTCAAAATATTATTGATGTATACTGCATGAAGGACTGCTGAATTCTGAGATAAGCAAGGGAAGCTTACTGGAGGAAGATGCATTACATGTCATTGAATAATCGATTGAACTTCAATATAGACATGGGAGAAAATAAAGGCAGAGGTACAACATAATTTAACAAAAACATGCAATTATGAAAATGCAGCTTATATCATGGAAATACTAATTTATGTATTTTTTTCTTTAAGGATAAATGATAATTTAGAGGAAACTGGCCCTGGAAATATATGTTGAAACCAGAAATTTGAGGGCTTGGAATACTTTATAGTGGAGAGAGATACTGGCTAATAGGAAGTGTGTTTTGGTAGAAGTATGTGGGATTGATTCTAGGATGTCCAGAAGGTACGGACATTAGCTCCTCAGGGCAAGCACAAATCTCAGGAAATCTTAAGCCTTAAGAGCACCTAAACATACTCTAAGTTTGAGGAAATTTCTTCATCTGGTGTAGTTTCATCTTCCGATTGATCACTTAGAAGATCACATGTTTGAATTGATGATGTATCTGCAACCTCTAAAACAGGAGCAATGCTAGGTCTTCTGATTTCTTTGCTTCCCTCTGTAGGAAGAGACAGGGTAGGGCCACTTGCTGATCTACAGCTTGTGTCTTGCAAGTCTATAGCCACAGTACCTAAAACAACGAAACATGAAAATCCATTAAAGCATTCGCCACCTATATGACATATTGATCATTTAATGATCAAAGTGAAATAAAGTACAATCAGTATAACCAGGAAATATACTATTGTTTACCATTTAAACTCAAAGGTTATTTATTCCTTTTTCATGTGGGCATTTTTATCCACATGGGTACAAAATTCTTTATTTGTGCAAAAAGTGTATTTGCTGAGTCTAGCTCTATAGCACAAAACATAAGATCTGTGAAATCCTGATATACTCAAAGATTAAGTGAAAAAAATACTTTGTTTCAATTTACATTTATTTAAAATTAACAAAAAGAATTTTTGGCCATTTCAGTTTTGTGGATTTCTCCTTACATCCTTTCCCTCCTTTCTGATGAGTTATCTTTCTCTTATTGATTTGTAACCACCTTTTTATATTAGAATCATTAATATTTTATATTTATCCAACACATATTTATTGAGTACCTACTATGTGACAAGCACTATTCTAGACACTTGGCATATGCAGGGAACAAGACAGACAAGGTCTGTCTACATATATGGATTTATTTGTAAAATAACCAAGTAGACAAATAAATGAAAAATGTCATTTTAGATAATGATAAATATCGTGCAGAATATAAAACACATTGATGTTATAAAGAATAGTGGGGTTGGGGAGCAAGAGGAGGAATGAACTTTTCACTAGGTGGAAAGGAAGGCTACTCTGAGGTCATGACATTGATTTTTGACCTGAGAGACAATAATGAGCACACAAGCCATGGCAATACCGGAAGCAGTAAGAACAGCAAACCTAAAGAGCTCAAGGCTTTTGAATACTTGGGTACTCAAGGAAGAGCCAACAGAAGAAACAAATTCTTTTGGAATTTTTTTATTGGAATTTAAAAATTAATTTAAACACCAATTTATGGAAAGTTTATGTCTCTCCCCTTCTGCAGAAAGTAACACAATATAATGTTGAGTGCCATCATTTTAATGATCTCTCACTTCATTTACGTACTCAGTGATATCTGGTCATCCTTCTAAAAGCCCTTAGTCCTACTTTGTTCCATTTCTTTGAAGCAACTATTAAAACACTCTCCCCTTCCCTCAAACCTCTGTCTCACCCTGTCACCCTCTTCTCCACTATAACAGCATGAGTTGTTAAAAAGGGGGGAAAAAACTAATGGGTTTTAGCATCTCTCGCTCTCTTTTTTTAATATTGATTGATTGATTCATTCATTTAGTGTGTGTGTGTGTGTGCGCATGAGGAAGATCAGCTCTAGGCTAACATCCATGCCAATCCTCCTTTTTTTGCTGAGGGAAGACTGGCCCTGAGCTAATATCCATGCCGATCTTCCTCCACTTTATATGGGACGCCACCACAGCATGGCTTAACAAGCGGTGTGTTGGTGCACGCCCGGGATCCAAACCCGGGCCGCCAGCAGCAGAGCGCGCCCATTTAACCTCTACGCCACGGGGCTGGCCCCTTTAGCATCTCTTTCCTTGTACCATGGGAAGGGAGGTCAGCAACTGATTTCTAAAAACCTCTGAGAGCAATTACAAGTCTTCGTAGAAGAAGGGATGAAAAGGGAATGACTGAGTGTGAGAGTTGGTAGAGACAAGACTGGTGAGAATATCTGGGTATTCCTCAAGATTGGAATAAATTTTGGGGGTCAAGTTTCAGAGGCTTGTACCTCTTCATGCATGCAATACTTAGACAAGAGGGATGGGTAGCCTAGGCTGTCTGTAGTAGGTGGGGAAGCCTTTTGTGAGGGACATATATGAGTATGTCCAGAACTGCTCAGCCAGAGACAAAAGATATGGCTTCCAGCACTCAGCCATTCTGATACCTGAGCAGCAGTAACGGTGGTTGCCATCAGAAATGATACACTCAGCCAATTTTTTAGCAGCATAAATGAGGATTAATCTGTAATTCAATCTATGTTTTGGGGCAAGGGGGATGGGGATCCAAGAGAAAATGAGATTGAATTTTCCATTAAGCAGGTGAGTGGATTTAGTTAAAAATTAAATTTTATAAATTTGAGTTATAAAATAAAGAAAACCCATGTGATTTGCATCCTAATGTTATGAATTAAAATTCATATTTATGACATTTATCCTCTGCAGATGAGCACATTGTCTGATTCAGAGAGAAAAGAGGAGTTATCATAGAAGAAATCCTTCAACTCCCTGTCTTCAAACAAACAAATACGAGTTTCACCGAACTTTTCTTCCCTTATTTCTGTTTAGAAGGAAACAGACATACCTCCACTTATGTAAAGCTAATCCCTACTCTTGTTTTCGGGATTAAATTCCCTCCTACTTCCTAAGGAATCGCGATCTTTTAATTCCACCCCCTCCTAAATATATTTGACTCCACATCACCTCCAACTACCTCTTTATCATTTTCCTGCCCAACTCAGGGAAATTTGGTCATTTCCCAATTATTCTGCCAACATTGATATCTGCCACCAAGCTGGGCATGGGGGATATGATCATGAGAAAGTCAGAATTTAGCAGGGAAGACACAATTTAAAAAGCAGTTACAATTACAGAAACAAGCTCTTCTTTGATCCTTTACTTCCCCCCCAGCAAGAAGTGGCTCTTCCCTGACATTTTCCCATGCAAGACTTTAAAGAAGTATCTCGTGTTTTGGAGGTGGATAAAGCCCAAAATCAAGGTGTTGGCAGGGTTGGTTTCCTCTGAGCACTGGGAGGGAAAGATCTGTTCCAAACTTCACTCCCCGGCTGGTAGATGGCCATCTTGTCCCTCTGTCTCTTCTCACTGTCCTCCTTCTATGTGTCTCTGTGTCCTAATCTCCTCTTCTTATATGGACACCAGTCATACTGGATTAGTCCCCTCAACCCCCCAATAACTTTATTTTAACTTTATTACCTCTGTAAAGACTCTATCTCCAAATAAAGTCACATTATGAGATACTGGGGGTTCGGGCTTCAGCATATGAATTTTGGTGAACACAATTCAATTCATAACACTATTCCTGCCTCATCCAGTGTTTTCAAAATACAGGTTAATAAACTTTCCCACATCCTAATCTCTCACTTCCTTGAATTCACTGAAGAAATTGTTTTTCACCTTTTCTCATCCTTTCACTTCCACAGTCACTTTTTAGACCTCATTATAACCATTAACAGCAATGCTGCATTTGTTCATGTCAGGCATTCACCCTCTGACTGCCACTATTTCCATCTTTTCCAATCACTCTCATTTATTTCGCAACTCCAGCTAAGGTTTCACTCTACTGGAACCTCAACTCTATTTATGATACTCACTTTTCATTGTCTCCTTCACTCCCTTGATGTTCTGTCTTCTCTTCTTACCCATCCTACCCATCTTACCCTCCATGTTTAAGCATTATGATTGTTTTCTGGCATATATTCTTGGCTCCCTTGACACATGTTTGCTTCATTACACTCTCTTGACAAGAGAGTCAGTTCCTTGTCCTTTCTTCCACTAATGACTTTTTCTTCCACCATTCTTTAGCCATGCACTCTTGTGGTCATATCCTAGATTTTATAACTACTATTTACTACACATGAGCTCTATTTCTGGCATCTCATTCTCTGATACTTACCTTCACCTCTTCTTTTTCCAGCTCCCTCCTTTTTGATTCCCATTGGAATTATAATCTGTTAATCCACCACCTTTTCAGTCTCCTTCAAACAACAGATGTCTTTTCTTACCTAAGTTTCATAGTGTATCATTATACTTACTCTCTTACATATACTCCTGATTGTCTTCCCCTTTGCACTTCCTTATACATCCTCCATCAGCTCTCAAGGCATCTCTTTGCACCCTTTTGCCAGCAAAACTTTTGAGAGTTGTCTAGACCTAGTGTCTCTACTTTGTCTTCCACCATTCAGTCATAACCCATCCCATCTGGCATTCTCCACTACCACTCCATTGAAAGAGCTCTCATCTAGATAAATCATGATCACTGTTCCTCAAAATTCAGTTCTCAGTTCTCACGTTATTTGACTTATTAGCAGCATTAGACACGGCTGATCCTTCTGTTCTCTTGATACACTTGATTCATTTGTATTCCAGGACACCACACTCATCTGGGGTTCCTACTACCTTGCCAGTAGCTCCTTCTTGGTCTCTTTTGCTGGTTTCTTCTTATCTCCCTGATATTTAATGTTGATGTGCTGAAGAATTCAGTACTTTGTCTATATCCTTTTTCTGTCCATACTCATCTCCTTGATGATCCCATTCAGTCTCACGGCTTTAAATATAATACATAAGCTCACGAGGCAAACATTTACTTTTTCAGCATACATCTCTCTCCTGATCTCTAGACTCTTATATCTAACTTCCTATTTGACATGTTCCACTCAATGTATAACAGACATTTGAAATTCAGTGTGCCCCAACTGAACTCTTCATCTCCCTTGACCCCCACCAAACCTGTACTCCCCCCAGCCTTCCCTATCTCAATAGACAGCCATTCCCTTTTCTCGGTGCTTAAACCAAACACCTTGGAGTTCTCCACACTTCTGTTTTTCTCGTAGCTCACTACCAATTCTTCAGCGAATCCTGGTTACTCTATCTTCAAAGTATAGCCAGAATTTTCTCCTTCTTACCACTTCCACTCAAAAATACTCTGATCTTTGGCCCAAACCATCTATTCTCAACAGCAGCCAAAGTGATTGTATTAAAACACAGGTCAGCATAAGGGAGATCATGCCATTGCTCTGCTTAAAACCTTGCAATGACTCCCATTTCACTAAGAGTAGGAGCCAAAATCCTGACATTTACTTAAAAAGCTCAACATGATCTGGCCTCTTTTTACCTCTTGTGCCTCATCTTCTCTACTCTTACCATCGTTCACTGTGTTTGAGTCGCAAGAGCCTCTTTACTGTTCCTGCAGCACACCACTCAGGTCCCACTTTAGGGCTTTTGTACTAGCTATTATCTCTGCAGGATCTCTTCCTCCAGACATCCACAGGGCTAATTCCCTCATTTTCTTCAAGTATTTTCTCAAATGTCACCTTTTCAGTGAGGCTTACTAACCACCACATTCAAAAATCCAGTCCTTTCAGAATTCATAGACCCTTCTTCTAGCTCTGTTTTCTTCTCTTTTTCTTATTACTTACCACCTTATAACAAAATAAATAATTTACTTATTTTTCATATATATTGTTTATTGCCAGTCGTCCCCATGATAGAATGTAAGCTCCGAGAGCTAGAGATCTTCGTCTGTTCATTAATTTATCACAGGTACTTATAAGAGTTCCTGGCACATATTAGGTACTCAATAAGTAGTAGTTGAATTCATGAAAAAAAATGAGTAGTGCTACTATAGAAGAAAAATAATATGTTATGTCAATGACAAACAGGATGACCTAACAAAGTCCAGGCAGGGCCATGGAATATGTCTTGGAGGGAGTGATATTGAGACTGAGTTACAAAGGACTAGAAGTAGTTACATAGGCAAAGTTGGTGACAGGGGAGTAGTTCCTGTGGGAGATAACTTAATGTGTTAAGGTCCATTAGCAAAGATTCAAAGGAATTTAGTATAATTGTAATTTAGGAGAACGACTGAAAGAATGGTAAGATGTGGGACTAGAAAGAAGGGAGGAAATCATTAAAAAAAAACTTTAAGTAAAGTCATTGTGAAATTTATCTTCTAAACTAGGCTACTCCTGAGAGTCAAAGGGGATGCTCTTAATAATTATACCAGGACAGTGTACGTAAACTGAAACTGTCCTGGGAAAACTGGGATGGTCTCATGCAAACAAGAAATTTCAGTCATCCAATTATAAGCCATGTTATATTATAGAATTTAAACTTTTTCCCAGTAGGAAGCAATTACAATAATTTATGCAGAAGAATAACATTATTAAAATTATCTAAAAATTATTACTCTTGTTGTAGGGTGGAGAAGAATGTGGGACAGCAAACCGGAGGTATGGATAGAAGATGAGGAGAGTAATCTTGTGCTTGAGGGAAAGGGTGATGGAGGCTCACACTGGGGCAACGCTGACAGTGGACATAGAATTGAATGACTTTCGGGGCTACTTAATGATCGGATTTAATAGAATTTGGTGAATTATGAGGTATGAGAAGAGAGAGACATTGAAAAGTCTGAATTTTGATATTACAAATTAGAGGATAATGGTGTTATCTGTTTTTTAGCAAAAAATGGAGAAGCGAATGGTTTTAAATGAGGGCGGAAAGATTAGTTCCATTTGAATACACTGTGTTGGTTTTCCTGTAAGACATCCAGATAGAAATAACCAGTGGACAGTTGAAGAGAAGTTTAAGTTAATGATTTGGTAAGGGAATTATCAGTTTATGAAGGACAACTGAATCCATGGGAGGAGACGCAACTATTCAGGGAAAATGAATGTAGATGATGCAGAGAAAAAGCAGTGGAACGTTTCAAGAAGAACATGGTCAATTATGCCATATGCTGTGAAGACGCCCACTGGATTTAGTGACAAAGAGGAGAGTGTGGTCTTGCCAGCCCAGTTTCAAGAATATAATGAATGCAGATTTCAGATTGAACTGGATAGAGACATGAGAGGACAACAAGATTTCAAACCAGTAACTGAAGACAACTTCTTTGAGGAATTTATCTATGAAGATGTCATGGCATGAGGTCCAGAGGGGTGTGTGTGCGTGCGTGTGTGTATCTGTGTGTGGAGAGATATGAACAGGCAGACAGAGAGACAGAGGAAGGGAGGGAGGAATGGGCCAGAAAAAAATGAAATTTGGTAATGAGGATGAATTAAAATAAAGAACGAAGCCCTTGAGGAGGAAGAAAGAGATGGGTCCTCTGTATAACTGAAGACATTAATATTAAAATATTAAAAGTTAAAAGAAAGGACACATTTTCCTTGTGATAGAAACTAAATGTTCGTACGTTTGTAGGTGGTTTGGTGGCAAAATTTTAAGGACATTCTTATTTGTCTGGATCTATTTTTTTTCTTTTACTTCTGCCTGATAGAAACCAAGTTCAATGGTGAGAATGAGATGGAGGATGGAAGGACAGTTTTAAGAAAAATGGAGAATATTTGAAATAGCCTCTGTTGATAACTGGATAGAGAACCTAAAAAGAAAAATATAGAAGTGCCAGGTGCTTCTATTCTAATCAGAAATATGAAATTATTGTTGGCAGTTTTGAATTAGTTTAATTTCTTACCAACTTAACAGCTTAGAAATTTTGTTCTGTAAACTTAGTTACACCAAGTTTGTAATATACACAAGTATGTTTTAAATTGGACTTAGAAATTTTAACAAAAATTGAAGTATAGTTATTATTCTTTTTTTAAAGAAAGAAATTAATGGTATTTTCAAATTTGTTTATACTTACCCATGCTGGCAATAATGCTATGTACAGGTAATCTAGAAGGTCCATGATAAAATGACCTTGAGACATTGCTTTTTTTCTGCTGGTCTTGGTTTTTAAATGCTGAATTCTCTTCTTTGGTAATATTAATATAAAAACATATATCTGTTGCATTCATAATGTATCGAGGACCTGGATTCAGCAAAATGTTTTTATTTTCCTCCCTCCTAACACCAATCAAGCAGACACCAAACCTTAATTTAAAAAAGAAAATAAAAGAGTTTAAGAACTGTAACTCAGCAAAAGTCTTAGATTTTTTTTTTTAAGTTTACATATGTAAGGAAATTAGTAAACGATTATAAGGCAGAAGAAAATTAAAACTTCAAACCAGAGCATTTTAAAGCTTGAAAGGATCCTAAAAGTTCAAGACTCTCATTTTTACAGGAAAAGAAACTATGTCTTTAGTGTGTTGGGAAATCAGTTTAGTTGATTACATATAAATATGGTGACATATATATATATTTTTTAATGAATAAGAATATAAGACAATAGAAACATCAGAGTGCATATCATATGGTAAGGGTAATAATTTTTTGTAAATTTTTTTTGTGTGTGTACTGGGTCTTACCACAAAGTGTATATTGTACTGTGGTCAAAAGATGTAAAACAACATTTCTTACTACAAAAGTTTGAAAGCTGTTGACCTAAAGGAGAGGAAGAAACTTACCCAAAGCCTCATGAGAAAGCATCAGGGTCCCTAAATTTCTTTTTGTTCTGTTTTTACCATATTTGATTTACTCTAAATTTTAGAAAAAATATTTTTTAAGTAGTCTTGAATAGGTATGCACCCTAATAAGGAGAAATAACAACCACTGAATGAAACAGAAGCTACTTAAAAATTTCTTATACACTTTTTCAGGTTATGCTCCAAACACAAATTGTCCTGAATATCTTTATTTAAATATGTCTTATAGTGTTACAAATAAATCAAGCTTAAAAATATTTTTTAAACATCAAAAGTATATGTATAGATAGAATCATATTGAGAATTAAAGTGAAATATATTAGATATCAGATTAGTGAAATATACTAGATTTATTACAAATACTAAAAATGAGTTATACTAATATATTTATAATACTGATAATACATTACTTCCATTAGATATATACATTATTATTTCTTAAGTAAGTAATTTTTCTCAAAAAGAATATTCCATGTTTGAATTGGAAGGTATTATCATTCATTTTTTAACTTATTTCTTTGGTCAAATCAAGTTTTTAAAAATGCCTAGTTTTTATAAATGTTATTATTACTTTGTTTAAATTTTTAATCAACACTTTAAAATTTAGATCTATAAAGAAGATTCATTTTCAAGTATTTGTGAATTCTTAATGGATTAAAACATTTTTAAAGATAATTTAAAAGTTACTAAAGTCAGTATTCCTATTAAATTATACTTTACAGCTGACTTTAGAGACCATACGGAAGACCAGAGTTCAAATATCTCAGTAATTATGGCAAAAATTTCAGAATACTTGCAACTCATGAGCACCAATATGGGTTGTATTTTAGAAAACTGTATTTAAAAGGTGTGGTATATGTTAATTCCACTCTGGAAGCGGAAACATACTTTTTGTGTGCATGGAAAGAGGCATATGTAAAACTCTTTCCTTCATATTCAGCAAAAAATGTACTTTCTTCCAAAACAATGTGGTACACTTCGTTCCCAGAGCATCTACCGTACGTCTTCTGCCATTGTTCTGGCGACTGCTGGCCTTCTCTGCAACAAAAGCACACACACATACACACACACAAAGAGAAAAACACAGTGAATGTGGTTAAAAACCAACTGTTGTCAAACATAATCTGGAGTGTCCCAGCTGTAGGAATTGGCAAGCACAGTTCAAAGAAGTATTTTGTGGTGCTCTAAATGATATTATTTTCAAACTTTGAAAAAGTTACCACCAAATTTTTGAAACACAACATATAAGTTTGAGAGACGGCAGATTCCTAGCAAGTAGGAGTTGTTCACAACCCAGTCAATGAAGGCATTTATCCTGACCATGAACTAATGAGATATAGCATTTAGTTTTTAGTCTCTGTTTATGCAGATCCTGTCATGCACACCCTATGTATAATACTTATTTTATGGTCTCAACAATATGGCCCACTTCATCTCATTTGCAATACCTGCTTGGCCTTGTAGGTAATTGATTTTGCTTTGTATTTAAAATTATAAATGTATATATGTCAATTTATCAATCTGATTTCATAGAAAGTATGCTCATAATTTCTGTCCATATTATAACAATGGCTTTCTTTCAATTGTGTAGCAGGTAAGAAACGATACTTCTTCTTAATAAGTAAGGGTCTCCAAAAGAGATTCCAAGAAGTATTTTTAAAAAGAACATGTTTAGGGGCCGGCCTGGTGGCGTCCTGGTTAAGCTCATGTGCTCTGCTTCGGTGGCCTGGGATTCTCAAGGTCTAATCCCGGGTGGGGACATGCACACTGCTCATCAAGCCATGTGTGGCGAGGTCCCACAGATAAAATGGAGGAAGATGGGCACAGATGTTAGCTCAGGGCTAATCTTCCTCAGCAAAAAGAGGAGAATTGCCAACAGATGTTAGTTCAGAGCCAGTCTTCCTCACTAAAAAAAAAAAAAGAAAAAAAGATGTTTATCACAGAAAGTACAGCTTCTTTTTTCTGGAATGTTCTGCTCAGTGGCCTTGGAAATATACAAAAAAATTCAACTTATGAAAACTTTGTGAATATACAATAGCTCTTTTTGCCCATTTTGTACAATAAATTCCATTTACTTTTGCTGAATAAAGCTTATGGACCTTGCAAGTACAAGAAATTGTACTTCTTGGAAGTACACAGGCAGGAAGAAAAGTGACAAATTTACAAAAATCAAAATACTTCATCATAATCTCTGTAGATTCTGAAGAAATAAAAGCAGATAACAACTCATATCTACCATCTTTAGAGTTTAAGAAGCCATTTTAAACTGAGTTTTGTCTAAAGCATTATTAGGAAGATAATACATTTATTAACATTTTCAAAGTGTCAATAAGGTTTAAAATAATCATACATTTTCCAAGTATGTTTCACTTGTACTTCATTCTTTCTTAAGTATGCTTAAGAGTCAAGAGCCTGGGTCTTGGAGTCTAATTACCTGATCTGAATCCCAACTCTGCAATCTTGGGTGAGTTATTTAACTTCTCAGTGATTCTTTACTTCTTCCGTGAAAAGCAGCATCGATCTCATTGGGTTGGGTAAAATGAGGTAATACAAATAAATCACTTAGCAGAGATTGGGATCACAGGAATCACTCAGTAAATGTTAGCTTCCATTATTATTTTGCTGTTAAATTTTTGTCATTGCTAAATTTTGGAGCCACTTTCAACAAGCCTAGCCAATTTATTAAACAATAATGCTCTTAAAACCTTTACCTTTTCTTCTATACTGTTAATATAATTTTGGAAATAGGAACATAAAACAAAACACTTTGGACTACTGACTGCATATGTTACGCCTAATTACTACCTCCTAAGAATGGTTGTTCCTGATGGAGAAAACGTTTCCTTTGGCAAACACAAATAAAATTATCTTTGTTATGTACCATATTTGCTACTTGGCGAGATGGTACTTGGCAAAGATAGAATCCATTTAAAGGGCTAGAAATGTAATAGAAGGTGCCGGTAATTCATCAGGGTTTGTTTAAGATCCAAAAGGCAGCATGGGGTCAGATAATTGTCACACAATTACTAAAAGCTATCCTAGAGAATCATAAATCTAATTCTAGGGGCTAAAAGAGGAATATAATGTGGTAACTTGGAAGGGAACAAAAAAGGAGAGGGTCAGACAAGGACAATTTGGATGAATTTCCTTAAATCATTTGCTTGTTCTCATGCTGTTTTATATATTGTCACCTTTCACCTCAGGGAACATCTTTTCTTTACGATTTCTTCAAAAAGCTCTAATACGTAACCGAGAATCTCGAAGTTCAGCTAATTGTAAAGATACAAATTTTTCTCCTTTCAGCTTATGGCAATTGCTTAAGAAATGTTGGGAATTAGTAATTCCATCTAATTCTAATGGGTACGTCCCGTTCCCACTTATTCATTCCCATGCAAAATATTTATTGAACAGCTGGGATGTGCCAGGAAAAGTTCTAGATTCAAAGGTTATGGAAGTTAGCAATAAAGGCAAATGTTTTTTTGTTTTGAGGCTCTAGTGGAGGATGACTGACAAACAATAGAAATAAGCAAATTATGTTATGTGTTAGAAGTGATAAGTGTTGGGGAGAAAAATACAGCAGAGAGGGAAATAATTTTTAGGGGTGGATTGGAATATAAATAGTATGATTGAGAAGATGACATTTGAGTATAAAATCTCGAAGAGGGTGAGAGAGGTAACCATATGGGCACCTGGGAGAAGAGTGTTCCAGGCAGAAGTAGCACAAGAAGTTTCCTGAGGCAGAGGAAGGTCTGGTCTGGCTAAGGAAATGCCAGGAGGCCCATTCTGCTGGAGTTGAGGGAGGCAGGGAGAAGAGACCAGAGAGGTAACTGGGCAGGAAGACGGTCATGTAGGGATTTATAAAATTTTACAATGACTTTGACCTTTATTTGGGATGATGTGGCAGCCATTGGAAGATTTCGAAGATGGATGCAAAAGATTTTGACTTATATTTTACAAAAATCTCTCAGGTCCTTGTGCTGAGAATAGATTGAAGAAGGGGCAATGACCAGTGAGGAGGCAACTGCAATGATCCAGCTAGATGGTGATGGTTTGGACCAGGTTAGACTCTGGGTGTGTTCTGAAGGTGGACCTGAAAGGATTTGCTGATCGAAGGGAAAAATAAAAATAAAAACCTTAAGTACTCATGTTCATCAGAAATATGGAAAGTAAATAAATAAATAAATCATAAATGTCCATACAGATAACAGTGAAAATGCAAGTACTAGTGTTTATAAAACATCATGGAGAAATCTCAAATATAAAATGTTAAATAAAAGAAGTGGCTCCAGATTCAGCACTGTAGTTAACTGGGAGCTGGGAAGGAAGAGACATCAATCTGAGATACTATATATGGGCTTCCCAAACATTTAGAGTGTTTATTTTTTAAATCTGGAATTCTAGGTAGCTGGATGTTCATGATAACATTCTTATAACTTTTGAATGTCTGAAATAGTTCTAATAAAGAAAAAATAAAATGCATCACAAAAGAGAAAAAAACAGGACTGGTAGTGAAGGCTTAAGCTTTTTATTCATTTATTTTTTACTGCTACCTTTCAAGCCAGCATTATAAGCTACATTATAGAAGGCCCTCCTTGCTTACCAATTTTGTGACTAACAGTTAATTTAGGCAGAAAGTAATCACTTTTTCCCTCTTCTGATGATAAAGGTGTAAAATTTCATTTTTTTCTAAATAGCTGCCCAGTTATTCAATTTATTGAATAATCCATCTTTTCACCCACTGATCTAAAATAATTTCTCTATCAAACACCAAATTCCTAATTATATGTGCCTCTATTTGGACTTTTTGGTCTGTTAAATCGATTTGCCTCTATTCATTCACTAATATCACACTATTTCAAATATTGTAGCTATAGAATGTTTTAAAATATGTAAGAATAATCCCCTCCCATTATTATTCTCCTTCAAAATTTTCCTTGCTATTCTGGTTTCTTCATTTTTCCACAAGAACTTAAAATCAGCTTGTTTACTTCAAAAATAATGCTGTTTACATCATTATTGAGATGGCCTTGAATTAATAAATTTAGAAGAAATTGATATCTTTGTGATATCGACATATTATACTTTCATTTGTAAATCTATTACTTGTCTATTTCCACCACAGTCTCTCACCCATTGTCAATCCTCGGCAGAACGTAAGCACAAAAACCTCTGAGCCCCATTGTCTACCTTATTCTCTGTGGGATCTTCAGTAACTACAACATTTTCTAGGACATAGTAAATGCTCAAGAAATATTTGTTAAATGACAGAATTTAATCCCCCTGGCAATATGTAAGATATATGCAATTATTACGTTCATTGCGCAGATAAAGAAACTGAGGATCAACGGTTTCAAGTATCTTGCCAGCACTAGTAGATCAAAGAATTCAACCTAGACAGTCTGGCTACAAACACTGTACTTTATGCAGAAGCTTCAGTTCTGAGTAACTTCAATATTCAGCGTGAATGTGTCTTTTCTTTAGGCTACTAGGAATTTAAGAGCCGAATTTTCTTGTTACCTTTGTTAATAAGTTATAATAATGAAAACATTATAGTATTAGCATAAAAACAGACATATTAGATCAATGGAACAGAATAGAGCACCCAGAAATTAATCCATGCATATATGGTCAATTAATTTATGACAAAGGAGCCAAGAATAAGCAATGAGGGAAGGATAGTCTCTTCAATAAATGGTGTAGGGAAACCTGGATTGCCACATGCAAAAGAATGAAACTGCACCACTATCCTACATCACACACAAAAATCAACTCAAAATGGATTAAAGACTTGAACATAAGACCTGAAACCCCATAAAACTCCTGGAAGAAAACATAGGCGGTAAGCTCCTTGACATTGGTCTTGGCAATGATTTTTTGGATTTGACACAGAAAGCAAAGGCAAAAAAGCAAAAATAAACAAGTGGGACTACATCAAACTAAAAAGCTTCTGCACAGCAAAAGAAATCAACAAAACAAAAAGGCATCCTATAGAACGGGAGAAAATATTTGAAAATCATATATCTGGTAAAGGGTTAATA